TCGCAGCTTGAAAGAAAGCTTTATATTTCGAAACTCCAGATGCTTGGATTTCACGTTGTGTACCTATGCGTAAGTATTCCTACTATCCTTCACTATGAACATGTTGAACAGGAGCGAGAAGCTGTACAAACCGCATTTTCCAGCTTTTGTATGATCCCTGATGATCCCCGGCGCTTTTCTTTGAAGTCATTTTTCTTTCTCCGAAGTTAACGAAAAACTTCCAAAGTTGTGCAGATTATCTAACCCAACGGTGCTAAGCATGTTGCTGATAAGAACAAATGATGTTTTGGAGTCATGAAATTTTCGATGATCCACAGGTCGAATTTTGGGGTATACCGAAAAAGTCAATTTTTCAAAAATTCATTTGTTCTCATCAGCAACATGCTTAGCACTGTTGTGTTAGATGTTTAGTACAACTTTGGAAGGTTTTCGTTAACTTCGGAGAAAATAAAAAGGCTTTGAAGAATAGATGTTCGTCCCCCAGGGATCATCAGGGGATCCTACAAAAAGCTGGGAAATGCGGCTTGTACAGCTTCTCGCTTCTGCTCAATATGTTCATAGTGAAGGATGGTGGGAGTACTTACGGATAGGTAGACAGCGTGAAATCCAGATATCCGGAGCTTCGGGATATGAAGCCTTCTTCTGAAGCTGCGATCCCCTCCCCAGCGGAAATGTTAGTGCATGCGGCCCTTAGTCAATTTCCGATTTTTATACTATTCGAATTCGAATATTTGAATATGGGCACATTTCAAAATTCGAACTTTCGAAGATTCGATTAACCGAACTAGATCGAATGACTATTCGAATAAACAAAAACTGAATAGCATCGAATATCAAATGCAATAATTATCCGAATACTCGCATGCAATATTCGAGTGTTTAATCACAATAGTCGATTCGAATATTCGAACAAGGATTTTCAAGATATCTCGATATTCGTGTAATTGAATATCTTTCCTTTAAAATTCCTCGCATGTTCGAATATTCGAATAATTTATTCTTTCGAGTTGTGGAATGACCGAAACATTTTAATAAAAAACACTCATTACAGCCGATAGTATTATCAAAGTGATAGAGACATGTAGATGATTCCATGATGTGTTTCTTATCACACATGGCTGTTACATTTTACATATATTCGAGTAGCCTTTAGCTGAATTTTGATACTTAAATTATGTTTTGTCAATAAAGCAGTCACCTTCGCCAGTTATCCTATTTAGGAATGCAACTGGGGATAATCAATTCTTCTAAGGTTGGGATCTGAATAGAAGACGATATCGTAGTAGGGGTTGAGAATGGCAAGGAGGAGTACGTATAGCAATGGCGTACCCAGATTTCCGCTCGGGGGGGGGGGGGGGACAAAAAATTTTCGGATGAAGCTGCATGGCTTAGCCACGCACTCCGAAAGTTTTTTGGGATGCTTTCCAAAATTCTTGCGGCCCCTTGCTCAGACAATCGCCGGGGGCAGGCGGGCACCGGAAAAATAGATTGCTGATTTCTCGCACCCCGCTCGCGGATTTCTTGCAAAGCAATCAGGACTTTTCGAAAGACCGCTCGCTGAGTTAGCGGATTTTTGAGAGATCGCCTGTTGAATTTTTTTCGCTCTTATCTTTTGCAGATATATTGCTGAATCTCTGAGGAATCGAGAACTCAGCAAGCGGTCTTCCGAAAAGTTCTGATTGCTTTCCAAAAAATCCGCGAGCGGGGTGCGAGAAATCAGCAATCTATTTTTCCGGTGCCCGCCTGCCCCCGGCGATTGTCTGAGCGACCCCAAAATTTTTGAAAAAGGGCGTGGCGGCAGCCGCGCCCCCGAAAAAATTTTTTTTATGAGGCTAATTTGAATTTTCAAACATTTTCAAATTACTTCAATTATTTTAGAAACAAGTCGCTTGCACATTTTTATAACACACTAGCTGGCTTACCCGGCTCCGCCGTATCCGGACCAAACTTGGCACACATACACATCGGGCCCCGGCGGGTGTCACAGTCCACTTTTCGTTATCGATCGATGTCGATTTTACCGATTTTTATCGATTTTTTTGCAGAGTTCACCTACAGGGCTAGGAGTTGGCACAGGGGGGAAGTGAGCATGGGGATTCCGAATACAATATTAGTTTTCAAGATCGTCCATTACTTTTATCGATTTTATCGATTTTTTTGTAAAGTTTGACCTGCGGGGCTGGGAGTTTGCACAGGGGGGTAATCGAGCATGCAGATTACGAATACAATATTAGTTTTCAAGATCGTCCATTACTTTTATCGATTTTATCGATTTTTAAAAATTTGAGCTAGGGGACTGGAATTTGGCACAGGGGTGTAATCGAGCATGCTGATCACCCCCCTTGGGGATGATCAGCATGCTCGATTACCCCCCCCCTGTGCCAACTCTCAGCCCCCTAGCTCAAACTTTGCAAAAAATCGATAAAATCGATAAAAGTAATCGATAATCCCGAAAACCAATATTGTATTCGGAATCCCCATGCTCGATTACCCCCCTGTGCGAACTCCCAGCCCCGTAGCTCAAACTTTGCAAAAAAATCGATAAAATCGATAAAAGTAATCGACAATCCTGAAAACCAATATTGTATTCGGAATCCCCATGCTCGATTACCCTCCTGTGCCAACTCCCAGCCCCGTAGCTCAAACTTTGCAAAAAAATCGATAAAATCGATAAAAGTAATCGATAATCCTGAAAACCAATATTGTATTCGGAATCCCCATGCTCGATTCCCCCCCTTTGCCAACTCCCAGCCCCGTAGCTCAAACTTTGCAAAAAAATCGATAAAATCGATAAAAGTAATCGATAATCCTGAAAACCAATATTGTATTCGGAATCCCCATGCTCGATTACCCCCCTTTGCCAACTCCCAGCCCCGTAGGTGAACTCCGCAAAAAAATCGATAAAAATCGATAAAATCGATACGATCGATGACGAAAAGTAGCCTATGACACGCGCCGGGGCCCGAAGTGTATGTGTGCCATGTTTGGTCCGGATCGGTTCAGAAATGGAATTTTCTATTCGGAACATACGTACACACAGACAGACATACAGACATATATACATACATACATACATACAAACAGACATTCAGCTTTATATATAAGATTTAAGTAGCTTTCAAAAATTTCAAAATTTTAAATTTCAAATTTCAAAAACGACCCATTCTCGGCGGGAAGGGGGAGTCCCCCCCCCCCCCGGTACGCCACTTACGTATAGGTATTTTAGTGAATCCACTGTTTAGAGCGAAGAGGCACCATGCCGCTTGACGTGCCTGAACACGTAGGATGTAAGCAACTAGTACTCATGGCGGCAGGATGGCGATGCCGCTAGGGTTCCGTGGTCTAGTGGTCTAGTAATAGGCACTTCGCTCGGAACAATCGAAGTTTGAATCCGGACATAGTCGCAGTGTTTTGCGATGAAGCGTGTGGTAGCTCCTCAACATCCATAGTGGCTCCGCAAATAGCAGCACGAAACTCCGAGTTTCAGAAACGAAACTCGGAGTTAACTCTGAGTTTCAAAGCGAAACTCAGAGTTAACTCCGAGTTAACGCGCAGCTCAAAACTCGGAGTTTCGGCCAGATTACCACCGGCCCAGCTCAATCGTTCCAATTAGAAAGGTTTTCATGAAACACAAACAACTTTAGCAACTTACAAGGAAACTTTGAGTTTTGTATATGTATGGATCTTGATTGACATCAAGTTTGTGCAAATTGTATGTCTCTATGAGAAGTTATAGTTTTTTAGCAACCACTACAAAACAGACCGCTTGATTATTTTCTGGCATTTCTCTTGAAAAGCGTAACTTTTCATGAAAACATGCATACAGCACAAAGTTGCTAATTTCAAAAGCAGGTAACATAACTCATAATATCGACTGCTCGTCTTGACTGCCAATCCTAGATTTTTGATGAGTAAATACAGAATCATCAAAATTGTTAGTTCTTGCTCAGATTTTGTCTGCGCAATATGTGCTCTCAAACAGCCGCTGTTCTTAGGAGTGTGATCTAATCTCTTAAACGAGATCGGAGATAAATCCTTCAACGCCTTCAAAAAGCTTTGAAGCTTGGAAATGGTGTGAAACAGCATTTGCCATTCTAAACTCTGTTTCCTGTCACACATTTGCTATATTCCAATAATAATTGCTTGGGTTAGCATATAAAAATGCGACAGCATTTTTCAAGTTATATTTTCCAAGCATTAAAGTTTTTCCAGTTCTTCTTACATTCTTCGGATTTCCTCCAAGGCCACAAAAATGGTGAAGAAAATAAAGGAAAGCGAGTTGTAAATGCATGCTTATATCGACTTCAATGTGTTTGTGGTTGTCCTTTCTGCTACCAGAAACTTACACCTAAGAGGTAAGCAGACATAGATGTTTCCAAACACAATCAGTTGAAAGATTTTACAGAATTCCCGTACTCTTTTCTCAAACTAAATCGTAAGTACTAGTAGATCTCGATAAATATGCGGTTCAGCCAGCTGCCAATGGCATTCGCGCATGAAAAAGGTTGGGGGTACGCAGAACTTGAAAACATGCGCTCTGCAGCTGTTTTGCAAACGTTGTCAAAAAACATCGAGGACAGCAAGAACAATATATTCACCACCGACTTTGCTAGTACACAAAGTTAATTGACTGTCCGATTTTGGGAAGTGAGGGAATGAATAAATGTTCGCTCCATCGAATCACCAAAATTCCAAATTCTCTGGTCTGTTAGGCTGTATTAGAAAATAGAAATAGTTCAAGAAAGGTGGAGTATCTGCTTGTATGCTGCCTTTTTCCAACTCTTCAGACCTTTGGGTATGGGAGCAATATGTAAAGGTGTAGCAAGTTGCCGGCTTTGATCAACTTTAAGTTAACAAAAGCTAAGTGGATCGAGATTGAAAATTTTTTGAACGTGGTTTAGCCTTACTGTTTGAGTTTGTAGATAATTGAGTGAGAACTTTTCGGATCATACTTTCCCCAAATTTTCTTCATATTCCACCTTTTTGGAAGAAGGCGCGGCTCAGAAGTCATGTTTTATTCCACATTTGTTCTAAACCACTCATGTAAGCGGTCTGATCAACTTGTTCATGAGTTAAGCGAGTGATCGAACTTTGTCGCCGTTGTGACACACATCGTAGAGCCACAATCGAGATTAGAGGTAGCATGAATGTCGATAGAGGCACTAACTGCAACGAATAAAGTTTCAAATTAAAAAGTTTAAGCTTCAGTCACTTACATAAAAACCAGTCCTTAAATTTGCTCTCAGTACATCAGGCATGTTTGCCGTTGTTCTAATGGCATACATTGCAGACGAATACGTAGTCATCACCACAAATTGTGTAACAGCAATAAGTCCAATCCATTTGCTCACCATTGTATTTTCGTAAGCTAGATACCGATGGCTGACGTTAAACCGTAACCTAAAACCACATGTAGTCAGACCAAAATTTGTTCCAAAAGAGATGTTGTGCCGAAATTCGAAATGATCATACTTCTCATTTTATTACAGAATCATGCGCAAAGTAAAGAACGGAAGGTTATAGGAGAACCTTATCTTCAAAGAGAAAACTAGCTAAATATTTATTGAGAAAGTATACTGCATACAACCGGTTTTGGGGCTAAGACTATACTGATAATGTTGCTTCCTTAGTGCCTCCAGCAGTATGGAAGCTTAGTGACCCATTCAACTCGTAGACCATGCAAAAGCGGGAAATTCATAGCTGTGGGAAAGTCGTATTTTCTTCTAATAAAAGGTTATAATACGATCTTTGACGGTAAGAGTGTTCTTAGGAGGGGAGAGTACTGGGAAGCGTGTAGTGTGTAACTGATTTTCTTCGGGTTGCAAAAGGAAAGCAATGCGGGTGCTTTAGCATTTCCTTTTAATTCTGTATCTCTCGAAACTAACATGTGATTGCATAACAGCTGACCTCGTGACTGGCTCTTTTTTCAAAGCTGATTTGATAGGAAAAAATATGAGATGGCAAAGATGTTGATTCTTTGCTGGGAAAACAAAAGAAAAGGCTATGTCATACCAATCTATGAAGCCCCGCTTTTCGTGCGATGAGTGCACTTTCGACGCACTCTTGTACATATCTGAGCGACATAAGAAAACACAAATTTCAGCTGAAAAATACAAACGAATTATAAGTTGCTTTGCCCCGGAAGCTAAGTTCATAACCACCGGAAGGATTATGAATAAAGCAAGTTTAGTGAATAGCATCTCAAAAATATCCCAGCAAGACTGAAAAATCACGTTATAGTTCTGTGCTGAAAACAAGGATTTTGCTTGAATTTATTTAAAAATAAGGACACGTTTTTCGACTAACCTCTCTCTAGACTACGAGTTAGTTCTGAAAGTCACGAGCTTTCGAGTTAAAAAAAAAGGAAAATTTGAGGAAATTGCCTCATTAAAACGAGGAACTAAGCATGCATCTTGGACTGAGATTCGAGAACGAAAAGATGTATCCTGTCAAGAAGTAAAATATGACAACGTAGTCAGCGTTTATAGTTGTTTTATGATGATCAGAATCTGTGTAAATAAAGCAGAATGTGTTTTTGTACGTGCCTGTGTCTGTGTGTAGTTCTCTCTGTACGTATGTTCCAAACAGAAATTATTTTCGAACCGATCCGGACCAAACTTTGCGCAAATACACTTAGGGGTGGGGCAGGTATCGTAGGCTGCTCTTCGTTATCGATCGATATCGATTTTACAGATTTTTTGCAAAGTTTGCGCTACTCAGACAATCGCAAATGATTTCCGGGGAAAACCGAAGTTCCAAAACTTCCGGGGACACACTTATTGGAGCTTCAGCTAGGGCGAGGCCAGGGCTCAAATGGCGCCGCCCCGGAAGTTTCAGGAGTTCAGTTTCTCCCGGAAGTCATTCGCGATTGTCTTGTCCGAGTACGGGGCTGATTGCGAGAGTTGTCACAAGGGTTAAAGGCAGTATCCAGCCAAATTTGGGCGCATGGGTTTTTCGCCTAAGAATTGATGAGGGGTCCTAACTACGGCACTGCCCAAGCAAATGGTTCATTCACGACTGGCATTCTTTCCTAGAAACTTCGCGCCTGCGCCGTGACCATAACCCGAAAACGACTTCTCTCACTTTGAAGGCAGCGTCCAGGCAAGTCTGGACACATGGGGATCTCACGTGGATAGTAATTTTGGGGCCCTATCTAAGGCACAGCTCAAGCAGCAGTGCAGATAGTGCTCTAAGGGCTGAGGTACTGCCCTCGAAACTGGCTCCCGCGATCGTATTTCGCATGGATTCATGACGCAAAGCGTGTGTCCTGGCGCGAAACTGCCATGAATCCATGCGAGTACGATCGCGGGGTGCAGTTTCAAGGGGAATATCTCCGTCAGAGCACTGCCTGCGCTGCCGCTTGAGCAGTACCTTAGTTAGGGCCCGAAAAGTACTTTCCACGTAAAATCTCCATAGATCCAGATCTGCCTGGACGCTACCTTTGACACTACCTTCGCTGGCACCCATCTAAAGTGTTACGGTCACGGCGCAGGCGCAGAGTGTTTGGAGGTGGATCCCTCAGCCATGGTTGAATTATTTGCGCCGCGGTTTAAGCACCGCATTAGCTAGAACTTCCTCATCAGTTTCCACGCAAAAAAATTCATGCGCCCAGATTTGCCTGGACACTGCCTTTCAAGGCAGTGGGCAGGCAGAATGGACCCCTGTCAGATTTTGGTAGTTTCGGGTAGTAGACCCCCAAGTACATCATAGCCCCAACCCCACCTTCGAATTCATGCGCTAAGTCCTGAAAAAAATTCGAAATTCCACCAATAACGCCCACTCAATGGAAGTGGGCGGGGCTGGTGGGATTTGGAGCGCTTTTTTCAAGACTTAGCGCATGAATTGGAAGGTGGGCTTGGGGCTATAATGTACTTGGGGGCTCTACTACCCGGAACTACCAAAATCTGACAGGGGTCCATTCTGCCTGTCCACTTCCTTTATGTGAACATGCTGGTAACGAATATACTTTTGACAGAGATGGGCGGAGACTGGTTTGCCGGCTAGCGATATATAATTCGCAGAATTTCGTTAGATCCGCGGAGGCCTACGCCCAGAGCCAAATGCCCCGTTGACTCTGCTCTTTTTCTCTGCTCATCTGCGTCTCCTCATTGCAAAAACGAGCGGCATGGGGCATTTGGCTCTGGTTTTTCTTCTTCGTTATTTGAACCCAGATTCTAACTATACAGGGTGTCCCAGAAGTAAGTACACACTTTTCAATCGTCAATATCTCTTTTCCAAATGGGTCTTTTTTCGCCATTTGAGTACCATCCTGTAGAGGAGGCTTCAACTTAGATTATAGTATTGAGCGAATCACCGACCGCTCTTCATCACTGTAGGATTACGGTAAGAACTTCCAGCAAGTAGAATTATTGTGAAATATGCCATCTGACAAAATTTTTTTCAAAAAATCTGAAAAATAGTGTACTAGGGTTTTCGCGCACGCTGATTCCACTACAAAACTTTTCATGAGTGTTTTCACCTTTTTTGACGGTGTAATCACATTTCTGACAAATATTGAGAATTTGGATATCACGGTTTACCTGGGATAACTTTAGAAAAAAGCGTCATAGTAAAGTGAAAATTTCATATTTGAAATCAGCGGCTTTTATTACCATAGTATAAGAGTTTTTGGCTTGTTTGGTTTTGTTCCGAGGCAGAATATGGCTTCCAATGGCCTGGAATCCTTGTCGATGTTTCTACAGTTATCCTACAGTAATGAAGGTCGATCGGTGATTCGCTCAATACTTCAAATCTAAGTTGAAGCCTCCTCTACAGAATGGTACTTAAATGGCGAAAAAAGACCCATTTGGAAGAGAGATATTGACGATTGAAAAGTGTGTACTTACTTTTGGGACACCCTGGCCCGTAGTAAACTACCGTCAGGGCATCTCCCCTGAGGCGGACCGGAGTTGATATCTTGGCGCCGCAGTCCAGCATCCGTCGAGCTATTGATCTGGATGCAGATCGCTTCCTGGACATTATAACCAAGTGCGTTCTCGAAAAATCGGCTACTTGATTCGATTTGGTTAAATGGGTAAGCCATTGGAATTACACGCGCGCGGCCGTGGTTCGACTCCGCCTAGCGACACAACTTTTGCTGCATCGCCGGGCAATCTTTGATAGCGGCCACTATCCAATCGATGATGACCGCTATCAAGGATTTCGCCTAGCAAACGCAAAGATAAAACAAAAAACATTTCGTTACGAAAATTTTGCGACAAAACGAAATGGTTGGAAATGAACAAATGAGTCCTCGTTTTGGACAGCTTCAAAAAAAAACCAGTGAAGTTTACAAAAGAGAAGAATTTGTTTTTTTCTGTCTTCCTTGCCAAAATCAGCTGTTCATCGATCCTCTCCTTTTCGGGCGCGGTTGTGCAATTTTGCGCCGATTTTGTCCGCAGTGTTAAGCAAATTGCTGTGCATCGTAAGTTACTCAGGAGCAACTTACGAAGATTTTCTCTGCGTTTCCTCTTTAGCACACTATTTCTGGACATTATCGCTCATATCATCTCCCATGACCCGGCAGGGAGATCATCTCCCTGCCGAACTTCACCTGAGGCTCACCTCTCAGGTGACGTTGCATCCCTATAGCATGGGAAAATGGGCGGTCGTCATTTTACTGACAGAACCTCACATGAAGGTCTCAGGGGAGATAATATCCCATGACCGAGCTTTACTACGGGCCCCTGTATATCATAATCCAGCTCTTGTTCTCCACTTCCACGCTGACGACGTTGCCAAACCCCACTTAATTTGATCGAGAACTATGGCGAAAACCGTGTTTTCAAAAATATTAGGTTGTTACATAAGTCTTGTTACACTTTAACTTCTTACGGCAGTAAGTCATGCACCTCATATTCTTTACAGGACTCCAGGGTACCATTCGATAGAGCAAAGCAACCCCTACAAGATGATGTGCAAGATTTCGCACCCGCTTCGATCCACCATGAGTTTGCATCCAAAAACTGAGTCGTACTGAAGGCTCAAAAATCGCGAAAAATTCACATCTCTGTTCAAAAAAATTCTAAAAATCCCCAACTTACTCATAAAAATTGCACCCTCTATCGGACACTCATATGCATCGTTGCTGTATTTTTTCCTCATCTAAAAATCGAGAAAACCAAAATTTTCCTGTTTTTACAAAAACGAAGCTATGCTGTTTCTTTTCATGTAGCTGTATACTACAAGTCCTTAGAAGTATGACCGTAAATTTTCAGCTTTCTAGAAGCCCTAGTTTTCGAAAATCACCTAATTTAGCATTGAACTCCCGAGTGAAAAAAGCTAGTTTCGTTATTTTTCGAAAACTAGGGCTTCTGAAAAGCTGAAAATTTACGGTTACACTTTTAAGGGATTGTAGAATACAGCTACATGAATAGAAACAGCATAGCTTCGTTTTTGTAAAAACAAGAAAATTTTCGTTTTTTCGATTTCTAATTGAGGAAAAAATACAGCAAAGGTACATATGAGTGTCTGATGTAATGAGCAATTTTTATGAGCAAGTTGGAAATTTTTAGAACTTTTTTGAACAGAGATATGAATTTTTCGCGATTTTTGAGCCTTCAGTACGACTCAGATTTTGGATGCAAACTCATGGTGGATCGAAGCGGGTGCAAACTTTTGCACATCATCTTGTAGAAATTGCTTTGCTCTATCGAATGGTACCCTGGAGTCCTATTGAAATTATGAATTCACGACTTATCGTTGTAAGAAATTGAAGTGTAACAAGACTTATGTAACAACCTAATATCTTGTTTTTTTTTCAAATCAAGTTTTTTTCACGCGAATTTCTCGCCCATCAAATAAATCTTGCCCGTGTCTGTAGTTTAGACAACGTCGCCGTTGTTACTTTTTTCTGTGGCAGGATTTTAGAAAAAAGCAGCAAAAGTACGTTTTTCTCATAGTTTTTTTTTGAGTGAAGACGCAACCATTTTTTATGTTTAACAGTTTCTTGCTTATCAGCATGATTAGCAGACAACGTCGCCGGAAACAAACATTAGAGGGGGGGGGGGGTAAATTAAAACTGGATTACTTCGATGTAAATTTTGACTTTAATAAGAGAAAACCTTTTGTTTTCATAACTGATTTTTTTCCTGCTTATCTTGCTCTTGCCAATCACCGCTTCCGAAACGTCATTGTTTTTTTGAGACAGTTGAAGAAATATTTTCTGTCGCCTCCGAGTTGTGACCTGATGGTTTCCTAAGCGAAAAGCTGCGGATCGAGATAGGCCAAATGAAAGTCAAAGTAGTTGCAGTGATTTTACGTGCTTTTCAACAGTTTCTTTTACTTTGCTATTTTAACTCTTTCTCTCTCTGAAATTTTCAAAATCAACCTTCACTTTTTATGAAGGGGAGGATTTCTCACAATCTTCACTTTTTCTGTCTGTGAACTATCGAAAATGTTCTTTCAACTCAAATTTGAGATCGGAACTTTTGTGTTTCCATAAGCATGGGGCTAAAAAAAGAATTTCAACTTACATTCTTTCTTTTTGCTTGTTGACGAAGAATAGAAATGCGTTGGCGATAACTGCGACAAAGTTGAGACAGATGAGTGAGTAGAACATGTCATTCACTTGCGCTGCACTTCCTCGTGGAGTGTTGAAACATGTAATCACGTAGTCATCGTACGGATCGTTCCGCAGTATCAAGAAAGGCACCAAAAATGATGTAAGTATCTGAAAGAAGTCTGCAAACTTTCCATTGTCCTAGTGAGCGTTTGAGATCTATCGTAATAATCATGATGAAAAACCTCCTAACCAACTTTGTGCAAAATTTGGATTTCAATTTAGGCAATACGGCGTGTGAATAGCGGTGCCAAATAACCGCTTTAGCATTCAGCGAAGTTCGTAACCTTCAACTTTTGGCTTCTTCAAAGGCATTGTCCGGGCAAAGATGGGGGCTTCAAAATTTTAATGCCGTGCGGAAGTGAGCCCCCTCGACGCGCCATCACGCAAGTGCAAGGCCACAACGCTTGACCAGAAGCAAGAAATGCGATTGAGAAGTTGGGAAACTGAAGCCCTGAGGAAAGCCTCGTCCATCTGAGGAATTTCTGCGCTGCAGCAGAGTGCGCATGCCGACATAGTTAAAGTGTAAGGTCCCGCACAGGGCTCGGTACAGCCGGTTTCTAGGGTTTCTGAGGCGAAGTCTCCCCTGACTTTCGGAAGTGTTACGAAGTCCCCTTTGACCTACCTACTTAGGAGAAGATGAAAACAAGGAAGGTTTACTAATCTAAAAAAAAGCGTGAGATAAGAGTGAAAATCCAAATTGGACCTGAATACTACAGCTGAATCCTGCTAATACTATGCCATAATACTTTGCACAAGAGCTTGGCATTGGAGCGCGATATCATCAAAGCGATTTATGAAGAAATTAAGACAAAAACAAAGCAAAGACAATGATGTGAAAATGTCTTCATGTTCATGGATAGATTTTTGACCGGGGAATCCGTCCATGATAGAAAAATCCGAAACTTATATGAAGTGACAGAAATATACAGACTTCGTATTGTTCTCCTCTGTCCCAAAATGCGAGGATTATTTGCATCTGTTTGTGTGGATGAGTAATATTTGCCACTTGTACAGCAACGTTGAATTTAGTAGCTCGCACTGTTTTTGCTATTGTAGGAATGTGCAGACGTTAGCATCAGATGTGATTTCTACCATTTTTTTGATGGGTGAAATCATACACAGCTGTGCCTAGACGATTTGGTTCCATGCATATAAGTAGCTGGCGGTGCACAGTCAGAGTTGTTCACATGTACGACTCATATATTTATGCCTTCTTTCAATCATATCATGCTTATTTGTAGTTCATCATTTAGTAATACATTTTGTTATTTGTTCTATCCGTGTTCTGTTGTTATTTGTTTCTCTGATAAAGTTTAATTACCCAAGTTTGAGGTGTGCTCGTGTCCAACCGCTCAAGACCCGCGTGGCAGAAAATCTTTGTGGTTTTGGCTTACGAATGGTATTAGACGACTATAGTTCTGAGTATCATTTCGTCTCCTATATCCAATGCAAGAAATATCGTAGATCGTCTGATGACCGTCTAGAGACGGCTTGAAAAAGGTAATACTTCACATAAGTTTTAAATCTCATAATTCTTGTGCAAATAATACTACGTATACAGTCCAGTTTTTGTGTTATATGATTCTTTGTGCGCTGTAAACAAGCAATTTTTTTATAGCCTTAATTTCAATTCGCGCGCACTTTTCGCCATACATATAGAGCATGTCAATCGTGTGATAAACTGTCCGAAAGCTTGTGTCGACTAAATGGCGCTTGCTCTTGGTGCTCGGCTCCGACTGGTCAAAAACGAAATCTCCTTTTTTTGCTCCAAAAACAAATTCCAGCTTGCTTCCAAACGATCTGTGCCGGGCCCTGGTCCCGCAGCGTCGCGTCTTAAACCTTGGCGAAGACTGTTTCCCACTTGTCAAAATCGTGAGGCTTTGTAAGGCTGTTTTCGCTGTTTCGTGTTCTCTAACGTAAATTTTCGGATGCAGTGCTGCGGATAACCCATTAAGCGAGTTTTTGGAAATCATTTGCTCGGACACTACCTATAAGTGGATTGGCGGCCATTTTATTTGAGATGTCGTTGCAATTCCTGCGAAGACTTTATAAGGCTGCGCTTAGACGGTTCTAGATAGTCTTAATTTGCAGCGTTTGCTGCCACTCCGCTATTTTTCACGTAATCTACCTCAACGTGTGACAATGTTGAATTGTGTACTCAAGTTCAAACCGAAGACATTTCAAGACCGCAGAATGTATTTTTTGGGTTATTTTAGCTTTTAGGCTGCTTGAAAAAAAAAGAGATGCCTCACCACTAAAGCAGCTAGGGCAAATCCGATCGGCTTGGCTCGTTTATGATATGGGCTAGGACATGCGGTCGCTAAAGCGCGATCAATCCACAGCATATTCTGGCAGGACACCATTCCAATGATGCAGCAAATCAACATATAGTTCGCAAAGGCACAGTCTCGAGTACGCAGAGTTAATTCACACGGCGTGTTGTAGAGACTGCTGAGCACAAAGTGATGTGTCTGAAATAAAACCTCATGAGGACCGATTTTTTTTTGAAAGGCCACTTAAATTGAGGTTGATGAGGTTTCTATGCTACGAGTAGCAGGGCTCCAATCAAGCAATCGCCCATGTTTCGCTACAAAAGATGGTTTTCGAAGCGGAAAACCACTTCAGAAGGTATAAAAGGCCAAGGTAGCTCCGCCCATCATCGTTCGCTGTCTGAAGGTAACAAGAAGCAAAAGCTTTAATGTGTCCATAGTTGTCATGAATCCTCTCTGTAAAATAATCAGCAATTCCGACATTTCCGTCTACCAGAAGCCCAAAATTAGACTTGTTTTCCTTAAACCACCCATGTCTGCGTATCCTGGGCCTTTTCTACTTTTTGGAGCGGTTTTTCTGCTTTAGTATTCGTCTTTGGAACGACACTTGGACGATTGCTCATTAGAGGTCCCGCTACCATAAAACATCAGAATCTTATCACCCCCATTTTGGGTTCACAATGCCTTGATGCCTTTTTTGCAATGAACTGCGTTATCGTTAAGTCTTTGTAATTGTTTCTAGCTTCACAAATGTCTTCATATACCTCGAACCATTTTTAGATCATCTTCATGCGGACCGAGAGGTGGGGGCAAAAAAGGAATTTCTGAAAGTTACCAATTTGGAATTTGATGTGTAGGAGACTTGCTCCTACGTGTGGGAATAACTGAAACCTTCGTGAATTAGAGATCCTAATCAGCTTTGTAATCTTTTTGGTCGTGGCTACCGGAACGCTTCCTGTCCTCAATTCGTCAGAGGCCCCCGAAAGTATAGGCATCTCAGGAAATTTTTTTGAGCGCTGCGAGGGCCACGCTCTTTTATTGTAAGACCCTCCCCCTCGCTCCCCCCCCCCCCCTCCCCCACCCTTCCTAGAGCCCGCCACGAGTCGGTTTCTATGGTTTCTGAAAACGAGGTCCCCTGAATTTTGAAAATTTTACGGAGTCTTCTTTGACGTTTATCGGAGACCTATTGACTTAGGAGAGGATGAAAACAAATACGGATCATTAGTCTGAATGAAAACATGAATTAAGAGTGAAAATTCAAAGTGAATTTGAATACTGCGCACGCACGAGAGTTTGGCATTGGAGCGCGATGTCTAAAGCGATTTATGAAGAAATCAAGGCAAAAAATCAAAGGAGAGGAAACAATATAAAAATGCTTTTACCCTCAGGGACAGATTGTTGACCGGAGAATCCGTCCATGATAGAAAAATCCAAAACTTATTTGAACTTACACAAAATATGCTCCAAGTTAGATCTTTTGGTGGCCGTCGGGAAACGGACTAATTTTGGAAAAGGTATCAACTTGCATAAGTTCTCAGAACTTTTTATATCCCGTAAATGATGTTGTAGTGTCTTGTCTACAGTACAAATTTGGCGCCATATGCGTGTCTTTACGCTATAAACAAGTGATTTGATGATTTTGGCTTTGCTCTCAAGTCGCGTGCGCTTTTCGCAAGACACGATGGAGCAAGTTCATCGTGTGATAACCTGTTTTTGAAGCTTGTGCTTGACTAAGGCACTACAGAGAATGTTTTGAGTTGCCTTACTGCATGTTTTCCTCCATATAGTTTCGCTGTTAATGCGTGTACACGCTTTTTTCTGGGCCCTACCCCGGACCTCGCACAACGATATCCCCTGGTTTTTTCACAAAAACAAAATCCAGCCTGCTCCCATTCGATCTGTGAAGGACCCTGTCCCCCCCCCCCCCTCCCTCCCCCCCCCCGTTCCCCAACGAGATTTCTCAGACCGCCAATGCCTCTCAGTGATCATTATGGAAACGTGCAGTGCATCAACAACGATGCATCGGGGGGGGGGGGGGGGGTCGCATGAAACTCAGGAAGTTGGCTACATTGATCTGAGCTATTTTAAGCAAAAAGTACCTTGCAAGACAAAAACGGTGTTTTTCCCACATTCTAAAGTGTGAGATTTGTTAGTCTCCTTAACTTTTGAATATGTACTCTTTCTCTGGTGCAAAAGTTAATCTAGCGGGGAGTCTGTTGCACTCTTTTTGCACGTAAGATTTAGAAGCGGCATATCACAAAAGAAGCGGTCGTAAGGTATAGCGCGAGAAGATTTTCAAGCTATTATTCTATTTTTTGTTCTTCCAGCTCTCGTCATACTGATAATCTTACTAACCAAAACCTTTGCCATTATGATTCTACAATTTTATTTTGTTCTTTCTTCAGTTGTTGTAGAGATCTGCTCACTGTAGAGCCGTTAGGCCGAATTCTCAATAATCACGTGGGTTCCTTTTAAAATTTTTACGGGGCTCTTATCGTGGCAAAAGTCATACCCCAAAAGAGGTTGCAAGCCATGGTTCAACACCGGCTAGCGTTATACTTTTGCTCCATCGCCTGGCGTCTTCGATAGCGACCGCTTCGCAAAGTCGATGATGACCGCTAACAAGGATTTCACCTAGCACGTGTACGTATACAACAAAAATACATTTTTGACGAAATTTTCATGAAAAAAGGGGAAATGGTTGCAGCATGAACTCAATAATTAAATCAATAAATTCTTTCTTGGGCAACTTTTCAAAAAAAGTAAACAAACTTCACAGTAAAAGATCTGTCTTCATCCTTTCCACGTCAAAATCAGCTATTTATCGATTCTCTCCTTTCGGGCCCCGGTATTGTGCAGTTTTGCGCCAATTCCGCGTGTTATGCCAAGTGGTGCGTATTGTAAGTTACTCAAGAGCAACTTAGAGTTGTTTCAGACTTCCGCACTGACCGCAGCTGACTGCAGCAGACCGCATGACCGCACCGACCGCAAGAGCCGCACAGACTGCTGCACCTTTCGTAAAGGCAGAGAGAATAAATAGTTGTAGCCCAAACAATCAAGAACAACATATGCCCAGACCCAAAATACAACATGAGCGAGAGTAGAACAGGTATATGCAATAACAGGAGGAATCAGAACAAATATGAGCATACCAAAGAAAAACAACCGCCAAAATTTGATTGAGAAGAGTAAGCTAAAACCTATGAACTTCCTACGTAAATCACGGTGTTTTGACGTAATTGCAATTGTTTTCTCTTTTTACGAAAGAATGCAGTTATCTGTGCGGCCATTGCGGTCAGCACGGCAGTATTAAACAACCCTTACGGGAGTTTTCTCTGCGTTTCCTCTTTTCCACACTATTTGCATTCGTTTAACATCAGTTCACGTTCAGCTCAACTGAAAGTGAACTAATCTGATGTGCAACAGTTGATACAGCAGGTGGACGGATGGACAATTGTCAGTTCACTTGCCATGCTTATAGCATGGGAAGGTGGGCGGTCATCATTTCACTTGACGTAAGCTCAACTGATGGGTTACGTTCAGTTCACTTATAGTACTGATCGAGCACTATGGGCCATTTTTTCACAAAGGTGAATCAAATTTTGAAAATTCCTCAGAAAATTTTTTTATACGTTCACATAGAGCAAGCCACATGCATGATTTTGTAACTCATTAAACTAATAATTTTTCTTTTCAGTGGGAGTACGGGGCGAAGACAACGCTGAAAAGCTCGAAGCAACTTATGTCTTTTTTCTTTTCGGGTTTGTTCAATCATGACGCACATCCTTTGACAGTTTTTCGTAATTAAGCAAATAGGTATCTCGACTTATTAAAGCGCCGTCCACTGAAATTGAGAAGTTGAGATTTGATGTATAATAACGGAGCCCTGACTAAACAATCACGTAAGTCCCGTTGCAAAAGATGAATTCCGAAGGAAGGGAATCGCTGTAGGTAGTACAAAGTCTTGAGAGGCCCGCTCATCAACGTGAATGTGTAACTGTTAAGTTTGAAATTGCGCTTCAATGTACAATTGAGCAGATTCCCCGGTAATATAGTGCGCCTGCAGAAGCGACAGCACAACAACTGCGCAGAACAAGAAGTCTCACTCAATTTCAGTTCTCTTCGCTCATTCTTCACTTTTAATATGCCTCGATCGATTAGAAGTAAAAGGTAAAGGTAGAAGGTAGAAAGGTAGAAAGGTAGAAAGCGGCTTTTGGTGTGCTGACCCGTCACTCGTCATTTGAGTTCGCAGAAATAGAACTCAAAAATTAGGCGTCAAAGAAATTCAATACCCGTAGCTGCATCGTAATTCAAATTTGACTTCATTTGACGCCTAACCGGCGTTGCATCCCTGCTCTGCTGCTTAGCATTCATTGCGAAGACATTGGGCAACCGCAGTTAAAGGCACCGTTCACCCTAAGTTGAGAGTCCTGAGGTTTTGGCAGCTAATGTTAGTAAGGCCCCCCATCAAGCCAACGTCCAAGTCGCGGCGCAAAATGTCGTTTCGGAAGCGAGAAAATCACCCCGAAATAACAAAGATGCACGAGGACCCCCAGACGGCACCGCCTCCCCATCCATGCCCGCCCATCCGTGCCGCCCATCCAATCATCGTTGTGGAGAATCGACTTTCGAGAATTTGGGTGGGCGGTGCCTTTAATCGGTTTAATTGTGCTGATTGAAGTAGTCTCATTACGGAGTACAATTAATGAAGGTATATATCTAGATATCAGAAAGTAGCTGTTTATTCGCCGTGGGATACCAACGACTGATAGAAAGTTCATAGTCTGGCGCGGTCTTTTGTTTTCCAAACTCTTTGTTGTAGAAGGTCCGATTCTAGCTAATCTGTACTTGAGCATGTCAAGGCTAGGACTGATTATTCCGAATGTTTTGCCTCTATACCGCGAAGCTATGGTTGGTCTTAATTCTTACATATCATTCATTCTGTGATCGAAATACTGGAAGAAGCTTTGTGTCGTTGCAGCTAGTTTATGATTCACTTGAAGCGTTTTGGATGACTTTCTATTTGAAGCTCGTAAGAGAACAAATTCGAGCTTATGAATAGTGCATGCTACAGCGTGCTCGAGTATCATGCTCACAGAATGGAAGATAACTGTAGAGCTTGTCCCAGATGTCATACAATAGGCATACTCGTTAGTCTCTGCCGGATAAATCAAAACTCGAACAGCTGTGTAAGAAAATTGCTTCAGCGAAATATCTTCCGTGCATTAGATGCAAAACCAAGAGACCAAATAGTCACGGTTCTGGCATGCTCATCACCAGATGGAACTGAGTTGCTTTATGACTGAACCAACAGGCAGCGCAACTCTTCATTATGGCTCACATCAACTTCAAAACTCATAGATGGAAGCTACTTTGGTTGACAACTACCCAAAGTTAGAGTGGTAATTATAAGTTGGACGGCTGTTGTTAGAAAATTAACGGAAATGCTGATGAAGTTGTTAGAATTCTGTTTTAATAGTCTCTTGACCTCTTTATTTCTCCGATCCTCATGATAAGACCTTATATGGTCCGAAACTTCAACTGTTGCAGTTGCACTACGTTAGAGAGAGGGGGTCAATCCAAACTTCAGGAGGTTAAGGTCAATAAAAAACACAATGTTCCATATTCAGTTTCTATCTGCGCACAAAAGCTTTGAAAAGGCAACGAATAAGTCCTTTAGAAGTTCTAGAGGTATTTGTTCACTGCTCCCGATAAAATAGCTAACAGCTGATAGCTTACAAGGGAATGGTGAGAAGTCGAAGTGGCCAATCCATACAAGCTGCATACTATTAGATGCGGCATAAAACGCTGACTCTAAATCTATTTTCCTTATCTGCAGAACGGTTTTGTGGACAAAATTATAAGCCGTTAAAGGCCATTATTTTGCTAAGAAATTGTGCGTGTAAAGTGCAAACTTGGCCGTACAAAGCCATTCTCGGCTCAGTGTTGGACCAAAACATGCAACTAGGTCACTTCATATGACCCGCACCTAGGGGTGGGCTGAAAGAGCAATAACGTGCCTAATTTCGCAATTTTTGTGTACGGCTTTTTCGCAGTAGAGCTGCTCATAACTTCGCCTACAAAGGCGCTCTGCAGATATGGAAGACAGATTTGGAATCAGCATTCTATGCTGCATCAAATGGTATGCAGCTTATATAGATTGGCCACTTCGACTTCTGACCATTCCCTTGTTAGTAAATCAGATGGCTATACAAGCGAAACAAAACCCAATGTCCTCGCAATGAACGCTAGGCAGCAGAGGCAGGGACGCAACGCCGGAAATCAAATGAAGCCAAATTTGAATTACGGTGCCAGCCACGAATCTTGAATTTCTTTGACACCTAAATTCCGAATTACGGTAGCCCCGCTGTTTTTGAGTTCTATAATTCTGTTTTGAGTTCAGGGCCGGTAGTAATCTACCCTACCTGGTGGCATCAAAGATGCCGGCAGGTAGGCACACATCGCGGGGAAGTTGCCATCATCGGCGGCAGCTCGTGGAGTGATTGTAGGTTGTAATAATCTTATGTAACCTTAGTGTGCAATCATTTCGCAAATCAAATCTTGATGAAGCACACAGCCGCAAAACTGCTACATCGCGCGGCCGAACCTAAGTGCGTTAACTTCAAGTGCCACCCTGTTAACCATTCGACCATACGGTCAACCATTGCTGATTGCACCAGCAATAGGAGGAACGCACCGGTAAGTGGCCGCCTGTAAGAGGGATCAATACATTGCCTGAGAGACTTTGACCTGAAAGAACAGGTGATTGATATGAGCGAGAAAGGGGCGAAATCGGTGCAAACAAGATTTAGAAAGAATTGCCAAAAAAGATATTGTTCTTTATGGTTCTAAAGCATGACCAGATTGTTTCTTTGTAAGAAAATCGTCGTTTTGAAAAAGAAAAATTCGTATAATGAGAAAAATGATAGTTTTTTGATAGAAAGTAGGGTTTTTGGTTTTTTCGCCTGACGTAAATTGTGTGAGTTCACCGCAACTCGCAAACTCACAGACGCCGTCGGCAAAGGTGCCACCACCTCGACGTGGTAATGGCACGTCGAGATGCCGGCAGCTCCCTCTCTCAATAGCACGCTATTTCCCGTGATCTCTGACCTGCCGGCAGCTGCCATCTCGCGGATTTCGACGAGCTGCCGGCAGGTTGCCGGCAACTGACATCGCGAAGTTGCCGGCAACTCCTCCTGCGCTTCCAGATATATTCCTAAAGGAGGAATTCTGGAACCGCAGACTTTTATGGAGTTTTCTACAGAGTCCAGGCGGCATCTTTATCGAGAAAATTTTTGGAAAAAGGCCTGGGACGGCCCAAATTTGGGGTCTCGCTTTCTGGCCACCTCACGGAAAAGGTGCCAGCGACCTGCCGACGAGACCTGCCGCCAGGTCGGGGGGATTACTAGCGGCTCAGGTGTACCTCCTGATAGTTAGCTAGCTTAGTAATTCAGATGGCTATACAAGCGAAACAAAACCCAATGTCTTCGCAACGAACGCTAGGCAGCAGAGGTAGGGACGCAACGCCGGAAATTAGGCGTCAAATGAAGCCAAATTTGAATTACGGTGCAGCCACGGACCTTGAATTTCCTTGACGCCTAATTTTCGGATTACGGTAGCCCCGGTGTTTTTTGAATTCTATAATTCTGTTTTGAGTTCAGGTGTACCTCTTGATAGTTGCATCGCACTAAGTAATTATGACGTAACCCTTCCTTGCATCTTTTTTTTTTTATCAAAAAGCGTTTCTTTACAACTAGTAGGCTACTTCAACCTACTCGACTTTCTCTTATCACATAGCGAAATGAGACAATGTTGAGTTCAAGTGAGCAATGATTCACTATTGGTGAGTACTTTGACTTTAAAATAGCCCGCTAGTGTGGAGAAACGCTTTTTATTGAAAAAAAGAAAGAGATGAAGGAAAAGGTTACGTTACAAATACTAAATGCGATGCAGCTGCCAGAATTACTTGTGAACTTAACGATAGAGTGTTCAAAACAACAAAAGCAACTTCTAACTTACCTTTCACTTCTAGTCAATTGAGGCATAACTGAAAAATGAAAAATGAGCGAAGAAAACACTCAACGGATTCTCGCTTTGTGCAGTTGTTCACGCGCCCCTGCTGTCGCGTCTGCTCTCTGCAGCAGCAGCACTATATTCACCGAGAATTCTATTCGACTGTATTCAGAATCGTCATAGATCCCGCTTCGTTATGATTTCACATTTTTGAAATTCTATGCAGAAAATTACTTTCGCGATCATCAACTTCACACCACCCACGCTGATGGGCGCTTGTGTAGGGCTCCGTCACTATGCAGCACCAAAATCTCACCATCCTTTTAGGTGGACAGTGCCTCCAATGATGTAAAGTCGGGTAGATTTTCCGCTTAATATAGTGTGCTTGCACTGAAAGTGAAATGCGGTAAAATTTGCGCGTAAACAATTCTGACTGCGCCTGTGACGCCGGCCAATAGCGCGCGCAAAATACTGGCAATACTGGCGTGGCTACTTCTTTACGCGCAAATTTTGCCGCGTTTCACCTTCAGTGCGCACTATATTAAGCGGAAAATCTACTCGACTATCGGAAAATCTACTCGACTGTATCTGTAATCGTTGAATTTAAAATGACAACAAAATGTAAACTGAAGTAGAAAACCCACATGTATTCCAATCACATCGAGTGCATGCACATTGGCAAATACAGCGGCGAGTGTGAGTAGGGCAATTGTGGAAAAGCTGAATATAGTCGGATCTCTCAATCTCCGCAAGAAGAATATGCTGACAACCAGAGTCAGAACCGAGAAGACGCTTTGCGAGATCGTCGCTGTGAGCCATAGTGGTGAATGTACAATCTTAGGCACATTCGCTATGCATGCATCACTCATAGGTCTGTAATTCTAGCTTTACATGGCGAGTATGGAACAAAGATATCACGAAAGTTCTTGAAACTGAGCCAAGGTACGGTAGGTAGTTTTTCGCTTAATATTGTTTGCTTGCGGTAAAAATAGTAAATGCGGTAAAATTTGCACGTGAAGGGACAGCTATGCTTTGACGCCGGTAATTTGCTCGTGAAAATGCTGGCATTACTGGCAAGGCTATTCGTTCCGTCCAAATTTCATCGCATTTTCTCGGCACCGCTAGAACACTATAATAAGCGGAAAATCTTCCCGACTGCACGGTGCTATGTCAATCGAATAGAAGCGAACACTCGACATCTGAATTCGTTATTTGATAATTTTGTAAGAAAGAAGATTAGTAAAATGAAGAAAAAAGAGGAACACAGTGTTGATGAGTGCGTTTAGAAACTAGCGTGCAACGATACGTTCCAAGATGTCCAAAATGCAGCTTCACTCAATGAGGGACTAATGTGAGTAAATTTTTAAAACGATGGAGCAAATAGCGGCAATTCGCAGGGCAGAGAAGGCGAGCAGCTATCACTATCAATATTTCTTTTGAATAATGCAAAATTGAAGTAGTCCTTTGGAAACTGTTGTAGTCTTCTACTTGTACTTGTACTTGTGGTGGGTCCAGGACACTTGTAGAGTACTAGATTTGTTAGTGGACCGGATATGAATAAGAACAGAAGATAAGACGAGACGAACGCACGAATGCCTTAGCTAGCAGAGAGCTCCTCATATAGCGCTCGAATCCCGCGCATAGGTCAATACAATACCGATAGATCCTAGATATCACAAGCCAATTACAACACAAAACAAAACAACAAATGTAACTCTCCAACAGAAACAAAGTACGGTTTTAAAATCCTTCCTTTGGAGACAAGTAGAAATTTATTTTTCGACTTATGCATGAATGATTAATCCATGCTTCATACTGGCTTACCAAGGAGTTTCGTTTGGAGGGGGTGGGGGGTATGACAAATTCTTTTCGGTGTAGGTGCCTGACCTTATCCACGCACTCCTAACAATTTTTTGGGATGCTTTCCAAAATTTTTGCAGGCCCCTGATCCCGAGATTTCGCAAAAGAGACGTGGCCAGCCACGCCCCCGAATTTTTCTACAAGGCTAATTTGAATTTTCAAAAATGTTTGAAAATTATTATAATTATACAAGTAAAGACAATGACAATTCGCTTGCACATTTTTATTTACATATCAAAAAATCTTCTGATCGACGAGGACTGGGTTGAGTTCTGACCATTTTCTGGTAAGCTTGTCACTTCAAGTAATTTCGAACTTGAGGCAGCAACGCCTAAGTAAAACAAGTGAGGCTGCCAAATATATGTGCTGCAATGCGTCACCAAATACACGATAGCCTGACGGCCCCGACGGTTGCAACAGAAGATATAGCCCTGAGCATTATGACATGTTATTTATTCTCTCACTGAGGTGATCGAATGGGCTCATCTTTGACGAATGGCATCTGATAGAGCTGTCTACACTCTATCCATGCCATGCAATTTACCTTGAAAAAACTTCGCTTGACAAAAATATGTGGGCCTAACGTTTTCTAGCCTGGAAGTCTGCGCCGTATGCGAAGACCACTTTATACAAATGTCTCCTTACTGCTGATTGATTATTGTTTATCAGAAAAAAAAATTAAAGAAATGCAAAAAAAATCGAAATGTCCCATTACTTTCCGATCACCCTAATAGTTAACACTTGATTGTATTGATGAATTTGGTCGCAGAAAAAATTGAATCTCTGACTTACTGCGATTGCTTTTAATAGGGTGATTTCGCATGTATGTTGCCTATACATGCTAGGATGGCAGAAGTTAGCCATGGTGTACAAACAATGCCGGTACTCTACTTTTGCTTTTAAGATCAGAGAATTTACAAGCAGAAGTCGAGCTTAGGCTTGCGGTCAGGTCGAAGTCGGTTCTGTTTCGTGAAAACTCAGATTTTTTCTTATTGCTTACGTCACCAAGCATCTCAAAGGCAGATATAATCCTGTCGTTTCTACAGTTGAGAGACAGAAGAATTTCTTCCTTAGACGCACTTTCAACTAGAGTAGTATACAAGTATGCGCAAGTCAAAAAAGCACATAGGTTTATTTCTTCGAATTTAGCACAGTTCAACTAAGGCAGTTGTTTTATAATTTTGACCATGTGTTCACATAAAAGACTGAATTTGAGCATTATTTAGGTGAATAGGAAATTTATATGAACCTATCATTCTGGCTACTTCGAATGATAGGTTCATATAACGAACCGGCTTTTTTTGGAAATCTTGATATTTCTTGGATAATCTAACGGAAACAAAACCGTTCTGCTTGATTTAAGCAAATAAACTACGGCAGTTTTTAGTGTACATATGATTTCAGCCATGTATATAGCAGTGGCGGTCCGAGGGGGGGGGCGGGGGGGGGGGTGGGCGGGGGGGAGCGCCCCCCCCCCGAGAATGGGTCGCGAAATTTTTGAAAGTTACTTATATGGGTTATAAAAATGTGCAAGTGACTTGTTGTTATTTACTTGTAAATAATTACAATAATTTTTAAAATTTTTTAAAAATTCAAATTAGCCTTGTAAAAATTTTTTTTTTGGGGGCGTGCTATGGGGCCGCAAAAAATTTGAGAAGCACCACAAAAATTTTTTCGGAGTGCGTGGCTAACGCCACGCACCTTCATTCAAAAATTTTTTTCAGCCCGCCCCCCCCCCCCCGGTCCGAAATCCTGCGACCGCCAATGGTATATAGACATATTATAAGTTTTGATAGAGTAAAGCAAACTCTACCAGATGTTTTTATATGAACATAATCATAACATAACTATAAATTCCGGTTTGTTTCTTGGAAATCTTTTTAGATCGTGGCTAGCAAACGAAGGGGCATGGGTACCATCTCCTTAGATAACAATTTGTTTAGATTCATTCGTTGTGCAGTACTTGACGATATTCTGTTTTGCACATATGGCAATGCTCATGGAGTTTTGGGCTCTCCCCGGCAGGCCGGTGGGTATGTACCCGCCGTCGTTTGCTTGTTTGAATACTTTAAGATTGTTTGCTGGCTAACGCGGGGGCATGGGTTCCATCTCTGTGGATATAACTCATCATTGACATTCGTAATATCCAGCAGTCTTCTTGCAAGCTAAGTCGTTATTCTTTAGTTTTATGAAGTCTGGGCCTGAAGCATATGATGTTCTGTTGTTATTCGTGCTTTGTGTAAAACTAACAATTACAGTGTTTGTTTCTGTTTTTTTTATGGTACGCCTTGAGCGTATTCAATGAAAATGAAATGAAATGAAATGAAATAATCGAAGGTTCACATGACTTTGAGCTGAAATTTTGAAGATATAGGACTCTGCCTATCAGTTTTCCACTTTCCGTAAATGCTATGAACGCTTCTATAGTGCCATAGCACCATCATGACTTATGATAAGTCGCTTATTTGTCGGTCTGTAAGTCTGTCTGTTACGAAAATACAGTGAGGAATGATTTACAGTTCTTTGGAGCTGTTGAGATGTGGGTTCTGATAGCGGGTATGGTTCATTTTTAATTAAGACTCTCTCACCGCAGTCAACCTGGCAATAATCTAAAAGAAGCCTTCACATCGTAAGCTTACCACCGTTTCTTGATGACCAGTGCGAGCCTCTGCGAAGCAGAGGTGAAGCACTGGTTTATACATAAGCGTGGCCATTTTCAACAAAAAAGCAGTAATTGGAACTCATCACAAGCAATGTTTTTCGGTACTTTTCCGCTATCCGAACCCATTTTTTTCAACAGGTTCTCATAAATTGTGTTCTTTAGTCTAGGAACAATGATTTGAATATTCCACGAGGACTGCCTCTCGGCCATGTGTCAGGGGAATATTGACCGTTTTGGTCCATTTTGACATGTTATTTTGAAATCATTTCCCTTAAGAAAAAAGGGCATTTGTGATCACCTGAAAGCTGTTTAATTGTTTTCTATAAGAGGCAAACAGTCTACTTATATAAGTACATCTTCATCGTTTTCAGCAATGATTCATCATTGTCCTTCTCTTTAAACGTTTCGCTTTGCGAATATAACCAGACGAGACTATAAATGATGGCTTGATGTTCCTCGCTAGTACTGTGGCTAAGGTAAAAACAGGTGTTGAGATCTCCCGGCGCTTGAAAGAAGTAATGAATGACAACAGCTTATTAGATCAAAGTAGCATTGCATAAAAGTCATGGTAGTGGTTACATAGCCCCGTTTGAGCTCAAAGACTGCAGTTCGGATGATTTTATGGTAGCCGCGCGTTCCAGTTTTTGCTCCAAGAAATTCCTATAACTTCCTTCCCAGAAGCGCTTTGCAGATGCGGAAAGCAGATTAGGAATCAGCGTCCTAAGCTATATAAGACAATATACATTTCATAATTAAACGCCATCTCTACCAAGTATCCTTCCCTTGTAAGAGTTTTTCGCTTTCGGATTGCTTGTATATAGCACGAAAGCGCACTGATTCAACCGCTTTCTTAGAAAATTTTCTCAGCAAGCCGATTTCTTTGGTTAATCTTCAACGGTGGAATCACAAATCAGTTGTTTGAGTGGGAAATCTTCGCATTTGTTCGGGTTATTTTTTCGTCCGATCTTCCTCACCAAATAAGCGATGGAGAAGATGTGTGTAACGTTCGTATCAATCAGGTGGGCATCTTACACCATTATCAGCGGCAATCGCAGGATTTCCGTCCGGATGGGGGGGGGAGGGCGGCAAAGATTTCTTTTGAACGCAGCGTCCAGGCAGATTTGGACCTATGGGGCTTTTACGTGGAAAGTACTTTTGGGGCCTTAGCTAAGGCACTGCCCAAGCGGCAGCTCATGTAGTGCTGTAATGGATGAGATATTCCCCTCGAAACTGGACCCCGCGACCGTGTTTCGCATGGATTCATGGCGCAAAGCGTGGATCCTGGCGCGAAACTGCCATGAATCCATGCGAATACGTTCGCGAGGGCCATATCTCAGCCATTAGAAC